CCCCAAAACCCCAAAACCCCGTCATTAAGTATATCAAGATTAAATAATAGTCATCAAGTTCAAACTTAGATTTAATAAGTTAATATAGATAATCACTTTAGAGCATTTTCTATTTTAAGTAATGTCTCTACTAATTTCCCATTTTCATATCTCCTTATTTCAATTTATCCACCATCATTTGTAATTAACATCTGAATTGCATGATCTTTACTTTTCATATATTATCCAAGATAAATATCTTTTTTGAAAGTGAATACTCCTACTCCGTTTCTCTTGTTATTCGCCCATTAGCCATAATATTGATCACCATCATTCCACTTAAATTATCCTAGTCCTTCCTTACTATCGTTTACCCATTATCCTTCATACATGTTTCCATCGTTATAACAATATTTACCATATCCATTCCTTGTGCCATCTTTGTACTCACCTATATAAACATCTCCATCATTAAAAATAAATCTTCCAAATCCAACTTTTATATTATTCTTCCACAATCCATCATAAACTGATCCATCTGTAAAAATTGCTCTGCCTTTTCCATCTATTAATTTAGATTCTATATCATATTCACCTTGATAGATTCCATCATCAAATTTAAAGAGAGACAAGAAGATTCAGTTTGGATTAGGATGAATTTTATCAATAGCCCCATAATTAAATTCTCCTAAATTTGAAATAATTTCATTGACAATAGCTATATTTGATTTAATAGTTAACGCAAAAGCACTTTAGTTATCATCAATAAAAGGACTAATTTGGCTCTGCTTTTCTTCCTCTATTTATATATGCTTTTCTATCAAATTATTGTTTTGAGGCTCATTATTAACTTTGCAAAGTTCTAGAAGCACCTAAATTGCATCTATTCTTAAAGCAGGATTGAGCTATAGCATTTTATTAAGGACTGGCTCGAATACTTTCTATTCATCATCAAGTAGAATAACTTTTGTCTAATCTTGCCTTTTAATACTCTCTATTGATTTGCCTTAGTATTAGCACTTCTTAGTGCAGAGGTAGTAAAGAATCACTCCAAGAGACCAAATGTCTACTTAAGTACTATAGCTAAATTCTTCACAAGAGTCTATTTCTGGAGCTTTGAAAAATGGTTTTCCAACAAAAGATTTTGAACTGGATAACAATTAGGCCATTCCAAAGTCGCAAATTTTGAATTTTTAGCCATTTTAAAACACTAAAATGTTGTCAGGGCTTAGATCTCTGTGCATGACATTTTGGTTGTGGAGATGGATAGTACCTTTTAATATTTGGATCATTATGCTAGCAATCTGAGCATTGGTCAGTTCTGTGTTTTCTCTGAATGTATAGAGATTTGATTCTGCCAGTTCTGTAATAATGGCGAACTCATCTTCAAAGGTGAAGTAAGATTCTTTGAATTAAGTTATATTGGGATGGCTTAGTCTGAATGTGTTTATCTCTCTAAGTATACGTACCATCTCGATGCTGTAATTGTTAGGTACTCTTGTCATTAAATTTTTAATATTTTGCACTTTCATTGCATAGAATTTGCCATCTTCCATATTCTTGACTTTTTTTACAGCACCAAAGGCACCTGAATCGATATTTTCTTCAAATTTATACTTATCCCATA